CTCCTTGATATATGTAATTTGTTGATGATTTTGTCTTAGTTGATGAGATACTAAGTAGGCCTAAAATTGAATTTATAAAATATAATTTTAGTGTATATAAAAAATAAATAAAAGAATATAATTAAATTGGATGAACAAGAAGTCCCTTTAAATAAAAGTTTTAGGTATCTTGGATCAATTATTTAACAAGATAAAAAGATCGATGAAGACATTATTCATAGAGTAAAGCTAGGATGGCTAAAATAACGAAGAGCGCCAAGAACCTTGTGTGATCATCGAATATCTTTGAAATTAAAAGAAAAATTTTATATTACAGTTGTAAGACCAACAATGCTTTATAGATCTGAGTATTGAACTAGTTGAGAAATAATATACATAAAAAATTTGTATTGTCGAGATGAGAATGTTAAGATGAATATGTAGAGTTACTAGGAAAGATAGGAAAAGAAATACTTTTATTCATAAATAACTAAATATCATTTCAATAAAATAAGATTAAAAAAATTATTTAAGATGGTATGGACATGTGCTGAGGAGATCTCCGAATGCGATAGCCGAAAGAGGTGAAACAATTAATTATTAGCGGTACGAGAAGATATAAAAAAATAAAAATATTTTTTTAAAATTATAAATAAATATTTAAGTACTATGAACTTTAACTGAACATATAACTTTATATAGATCTCAATGACGACAAAAAATCCATGAAACCGACTCCAAATAATTAGGATTTATAGCTTTATTATTATTGTTGTTGTATGCTAGTAGTATAAACATTTTTAAGAATGAACTCATTCTAAGCATGAAGATACCAGCAGTAAAAGATACTACGTCTACAAACAAATATCTCTAAACCACTACGGGAGTTGCTGCAGTATAACATGAGGACTTGTTTAAAACACTAAGCTGTTTCTAATGTTTTGTGCTCATAAGTAAAAAAGATGACTTCAAGAGATAGTTGCAGATGAAAAGATGCTCAACAAAAACAAGTACAATTCTACAATTTACATTTTCGAATACAAATGGCAATAGAAGCTCACCTCATATGTTGCTGGGGTACATGAAAACCCTGACCTTTCCACCCTACAAATATAAAAGCAATGCAAACGGTAAGCAAAATTCGGACCATTAAAGCTACAATCGATACGAGAAGTCAGCCTGACCATGGATTTAGGCGGGAGGTTGGACTTGAACTTGGCGCGAATCACTCCACTGTTCCCGTGGGGGCGGCAGACCTTGCCCCATATGCACCGGTACCGCGTCCCCTTGGTCTTCGTCTTCGCCTTGTATATGTACGCCATCCTCTTGCCGCAGTACCAGGCGACCTCTTCCTTCGTGTTCACACCCTCGATCTGAACCAACGAGGTGTTCTCGTACTGGTTCGACTTCGACCTGATGCATCCACCCCTCGTCAAAAAATACAAGAGCCTACAGAAATCGAAAAATTAAACAAAATCCTAAGACGCTCTTAACCTACCTCTTGTATCCGAGGATTGTCCCACGAACGTACAACCTAAAATAGAAATCAAACGAACAAATACATTGTAATGATGATAAGAAGTTGAGGAAAGATAGAGAGAACAGGATGGTCATGAATTGAGGGCAAGGGTATGGGATAGGGGTTCAAATAGGACCTGACGCGCTCGCCCTGTCGCCCCTTCACCATTTCCGCCGACGAGAGTGGTTCGACAAGAGACGGTGCGAGAGAGAGACAGCGGCCCAACGAAGCAGCGAGAAACCCTAGTCGTTCCACGGGGAGGGGAGTGATTTAAATAGACGAGCTACGGAAGTAGGATCAGTTAATGGGACGGTCACGATCGCATCTCTGAGCGATGCTGGATTCCCCGATGGACCTGTGCTTCTCCCTCTTTGACAGCCTCCCTATGGCCCATTTGGGTAAGCAGTACATTTCCCATTTTGTGTGTGTGTGTGTATATATATATATATATATATATATATATATATATATATATATATATATATATATATATATATATATATATATATGTCATTGTAGTTAGTCTCCACTAGTGGATGATTGAAACAACATCATAACAGCCTTAAAAAAATATTGCATAACTATGTCTCTTATATTGTTAATTTTTATATTTGTGTTTTTATTAATTTTAAACCTAAATTTAAAAATAAAAATCAAATAATTGATAAATGTTATAAACTTGTCGGTGGGCGTAATTAAAAATGATATATATATATATATATATAACATTTATTGCATGGATTATAATGGGACTGATACATTAAAAAAAATTAAATATTTAATTCTAATATATGTAGCTATTATATAAAAATTTGGAGAGACAATTATTGTTTTCATAGAGTTTATTATTTAGAGTCGCTTTTTGTTATTAACAATCTTCTTATTATTTTATGATTTTAAAAAATAATAAAATAATATTTTATTACTTACAATCCTACTAATTTTGATTTTATACCTTCTTTTTTTTGCTTACATACCTTACCATCATTGACGCTCCCTTAGCTTGTGCTCTATATCATTGATTATTGTCCCTTGATTTATACTATGATACCATTTGATGTCTTTCGATCTGTTTATTATCCCTTTAATATTATCATCCAAAGAGGAAAAAAAATAGGAGGTGAAGAAGAAAAAAAAAGGGGGTAAAGTAGAGGAAGAAAAGGAGGATGAGGAAAATAAATAATATATTTATGTATATTTATAAAAAAAATATTTTTTTAAAAAAAATTTAAAAAGGGTTTGTAATTAACGAAGAGTGTATAATAGATTGAAATTTACAACCCTTTTTGTTATTTACAATCTCATGTCAATAACTTTGAATATCCATTTGTGAACAAACATATATGTCCTGGATTCATAATTTAATTTTAATAATTTGTTTTCACTTTTCAACTACAAATCCTTTTTTTTTTTCTTCTTCTTCTTCTCCTTGTATTAATAGTTGGAAACGACATAAAATAATAAAAAAATGATAAAATGAGATGAACCGAATATCTTAAAGAAAAAAAAAGGAGGTGAGAAATAGTTTTTAATATTTGTTGTGATGATTTAACATTTTTAGAGTTATGTATATTCCATAGTAGCCCAAGAGATATTATCTTCTATTAAAATTATATTAACTCAAAAGAATTACATTTTAAGTATTTGTAAATTGTCCACAGGTGAAGGGTGCACAGAAAAGATTGAGGGGAAAGAAAAAAAAATAAAATGATAAAAATAGAATTAAAGGGGTTGTGAATAAAAAATATATTATTTTATTATTTTTTAAGAGATTATGAATAGTATAAAGGGGCTTTAAATAATAAGATCTAATTACAAATACTAATCTCCCTTTCATATTACATTATTTAAAAAACCTTTTATTTTTTTAATTTTTTTTTTAAAATTTTTATTTGATTCCCTTTAACCTTATATATATATATATATATATGTATACATACATATATATATATATATATGTATACATATATATATATATATGTATACATACATACATATATATATATGTATGTATACATATATATATATATATACATATTATATATATGTATATATATATATTTGTATACATGTATATTTATACACATATATATATATTGATATATTAAACTAAGATTATGATTAAAAAGATCCAAATAAGGATAAAACATTACTATTATAATATTTGGAAACACACTTGTAATGTTTTGTTTTGTTGAGGTGATAAAAATAGTACAAAACTATTCAAAATTATTACAATAAATCGCCCACACCAATAAATGGAGAATTAAATAAAAAATATAGATAAGAGATTTAATGGGGCATCAAATTAAAAATATGAAAATTGCTTCTTCAGAAAAATAAAAATAAAAAAGCTTTTTTTAAATCGTCCTTTCATATTTCCAGAGGTTATATATAAAAATATTTATATATTTTTTTCTTTTTGTGGTGACTGCTTATTTGGCTTCTAAAACGATTGACAGAGACAGTTGCATATCCAAACTCAAGCATTTTATTGGGTTACGCCATCGATGATGTGATCCGCGAAACCTATCCAAAAAGGATGTGTTAGTGGGAAACGTCTCCGAGGAAAGTTTGCTTTACTCACTTCCTCGCATTTCATTGGTGATTGCGACTCGAAGGAGTAGAAGTAGGGAGCCAAATGCTGCATCGAATCGGCGGTGGTGACGGCGGTGATCTGCGGGCAATCAAGTCAAGATGGGTGGCGGTCAACGAAGGATCATGTGATCTTACTAAAATACACACCTTCGCATTTGTCTTCTGCGGCAGCCGCTGGTGGTGGTCATGGAGTTGGCAGCGTTAGGTGAGGAAGCTGTTCTTCCAATCGGTGAAGGTCTCTGTCGCAGTTGACAGTGAGAAAAATCTTGCTTGGATAAATAAATAAATATATAAAGAAAAATCAATATTATTAATAATGATCGAATATATTAATGTCTTAATGTCTCCTCTTACACAAAAGAGGAAAATTTGATTGGATAATCAGAAACCTCAAATAATTAATTTTAGTCTATTTTATTTATTCAAAATTTGAGTTTGAATAAACATCATTTGATTTAACGTCATTGTTTCTTTACACCATACTAAATTATGGCTTCCTTGCATGCATGATTTCTAATTATATCTCAGTGACTTAATTATTCGAATCATAAATCCATTTATATATACTCCCAAGCTTGTTATACTAAATCTCAGCCGTTTGATATGCTTTGGGATTGACGACTCGGACCATGATCAGCTTGATTCGTGTCTAATTTCCAATTGGACCATCAGAATTCAACAAAATCACAGTATTGTCCTATTCGAAAAGATTGGCGAAAACTACTACGCTTCTTGCGCTTACTTGATCTACTCTTCCTTCCCACTCAAACTTCACCCGATCCGCTTCCTTCCTTGCAACTGGGTAGTTATTGGGTTATTCTGTGGGCCCAAAGTGGGTAGGCGTCGAATGGGTATGATAAGCGATTCCCTTCTGTTTCTTCGTCTTTATAAGGGCACCTTCCCCGGTCTTCTTCCTTCTCCTGTGTGATCCTCTTCACAGCCTCCTCTAGTCGCTTATCTTATTGGTCGAACGTCGCCTGCCCATCCACGAAATGGCGTTCGAGAAGATCAAGGTAGCGAACCCCGTCGTCGAGATGGACGGTGAGGCCCTCCTTTTGTTTCTCCTCGTATCTGATCCATTCCACCTCCCTCGATCGACTTCCTTCTCCCATGTTTGTTGGTTTCCGCATCCCTAGATCCGGCCCATTCCGGACTTATCGACGCTTCTCTGTAGAGTTGTTTCCATCGTCGTGCCTCGATCCGCGACTTCGTGGCGCGATCGCGATGGTTGTTCTCACCTACCGCGATTTTTTCCCTAGTAGTCGTGGATTCGCTTGCGCATCATGCGATGATCGATCCCACTTGAACGTTTGATCTTGTAGATCGTTCAGTTGTTCACTTGGGGTGTCTGTTGCCTCTCAAGATCCGTGAGATTTTTGGTGATTCGATGTTGCTCCTGGATTAGCCTTAACTAAAAGTCTGGAATTCGTCTTTTTCGAGACTCAGAGTTTGTTGTCGTCTTGCTTTGCGTCAAGGAAAAGCGATTAGCACTTGTGTATTGATTAGTGGCTTTTGAACTGTTGTGATGATGCTCGTACTATTTTACAGCACCGTTTTCAATTGTTCATCATTTGCTTGGGAATTCAGGATAAGGACAACAAATCTAGTGATAAAGGTTTACTAGAACCATCCAGTAAATTGGATCATCCAAGAAACAGAAGGGAGATAAAAAGGTAATGCCCGACTAAATAAAGTGAAGAAATGCACCCTTCCGATGGACAGTCTATGTTGAGACGTTATGGTTGTTAGCGCAGTGTTCGGCAGTTAATAGGTCTCAGGTTAGAGTCCGTACGAGAGTGTCTTTTTACACATTTTATTGTAATGGAACAAATTCAGTAAAAAAGCATTACAAATTGATAAAATCAAGTACAAACCATCTAGAGCAATAGTTTCAAAGATGGTGAAAGATGGGTGCTGCATAGGTTGAAAATTCATGGAATCCTTTCTGGACCATATCATTTTCTGTGAAATGTAATTCCCAGGAACCATTGGAATTCAATGCTTCCGGTACCATGACGGTAACAGATAGGAGATCAATTGTAAAAGCAAGGGTTTTGCTTGGAAATGTCTGCTTCTTTAGATAAAGTTCAACAGTGTTGGTGTGACTTCTATAGATGATGTAACTTAGTATGGATAATGATCCCCTATTGGAGTCAAATCAAATTAAAATAGGAAGAAGAGAGTATTTCTCTCACCTGGAACAAGCAATTACAAGTCAACCACAGTTTTGTTGCTTAAATCTTCCTAGCTTTTGTTCATCAAGGAAAGGCTGGTATATGAAACTTGGACCATGAGCTTAGCTGTTAGCGACAGATGTGCTTAACTATGAATAAATGTGCTGAAGTACAGACCCACACCATTTTATGGTTTATACTGTAAAATCTGCTTGTACTTTTATCACAACAAAATTATGTCTCTTTGGCATCTCTGGCTGGTTTATCATTTTAATTATATGTTCTTCCATGAATGTTAATTATGCCATAGGGTAGCAGTCTTATATTAGATATTGTTAATTAATTTATTTGCAATCTTTTTAGACTATATCATTTGGCAACTTTTTGTCACATGGATATTGTACCCCATAAGATAGCATCAATGTAGTTTATTTTAGATTTTTTTTTTATATGCATGCTTGTATCTCACTCCCAGATGATATGGATGAACATCCATTATGCAATAAAAGCAGTCTTTTCCAAATAGATTAGTACTCAATATTCTTAGACTATCCTTTGGCAACTCTGTCACAAGGATCTTATGCCTGTCTAAGATGGCAACACTGCAGTTGATTGAGATATTTTTATATAACTCTAGATCACTTATTTGTCTATATGTTCCATTCCTTTCTGTCAGGGGATGAGATGACTCGAGTCTTTTGGAAATCAATTAAAGAAAAGGTGCTGATTGTTTTCTTGCCTATTTTGCTTGCTGTATCTTTTCTCTATCGATATCCTTTTAAGTTGCACCATTAAAGAGTTCTGGAGATGATTTTATGCAGTACTAATGATTTGATCAATAATGCAGCTCATTTTTCCATTTGTGGACCTGGATATCAAATACTTTGACTTGGGCCTACCTAATCGTGATGCTACAGATGATAAAGTCACAATAGAAAGTGCAGAAGCTACCCTTAAGTAGGCATCCCCTTCTCTATTATATCCTGTTATACTTCTAATGATTTTCTACTGATGTCTGTACATAAATGACTGAAAAATGATGTGAATTTGATATATTTGTACTTTGGCTTTTCTACGAAGCTTGAACCCTTATTATTCCGCTGACATCAGAGGCTGAACTCTCATTTAATGTATATGCATCTGTCAGGGCTGTGTTTACCTTGGATCAACTTTGATTCATCAATTTTCAGATTTTTGGGTAGCTGAATTATCCCACCCAAAAGCATAAAGAAACTGTATTCAATGTGCCTCTATCAGTGACTTCTTTCAGTCAACTCAAATTTAACAAACTGTTCCATTTTATAATTATTAAGTTGAAAGCTGATCTGATATTTGAGGAATAAATGATTGAAGCAAACTAAAACCACACCTTTTTATTTCTAAAGTTCAGTTGGGTGTATGCTTGGCCTGTAGATATTGGCTGGTTTCTTGATTGCTGATTGATGTCTTCAATAATCAATACTCTTCTGATTTGTTTTATGTTTGCAGATATAATGTGGCAATCAAATGTGCAACAATCACTCCAGGTAAAGATGCACTAGGAATCCTACACATCAAACTATTGAACAATAAATTTACATATCGTGTTCATATGTTAATATATGTGAATGATGGCAGATGAAGCTCGGGTTAAGGAATTCAACTTGAAATCCATGTGGAAGAGTCCTAATGGAACAATCAGGAATATCGTGAATGGTTAGCTCACATGTCCGTCAGAGTCATTTATCAAAGCCTTGATGATTACCGATGAGATTATGCTTTTGTCTTTGCAGGCACAGTATTTAGGGAGCCAATTATTTGTAAAAACGTCCCAAGGCTTGTTCCAGGTACATAAAAATATCAACATATTTTAGATTTGTGCTAGTAACATAATTTTCCTGCCAGTCTGATAAGTTACTTTCTCAGGATGGACAAAACCAATATGCATTGGAAGGCACGCTTTTGGTGATCAGTACCGTGCAACTGATACAGTTATCAAAGGGCCTGGAAAGCTCAAATTAGTGTTTGGTAAGAGAGATGGTACTTCATGCATGGTCAAATATACAACTTTCTTCCACGAATCCACGTACTTCAGTCCTCATTTATCAATTGTTTACTAAGATTTCTTACTTATTTATCACTTTCAGAAGGAAAAGATGAGGAGGTTGCACTAGAGGTGTTCAACTTCACTGGTGCAGGCGGAGTTGCCTTATCAATGTACAACACCGATGAGGTTTAGAACTTCCACTCAATTCTTTCATCCATGGAGTATTCTCACTTGTACATGTGATAGTTATGCCTTTTTTATTTTGTGATTGTGTACAGTCAATTCGTCCCTTTGCGGATGCTTCTATGGCTACTGCTTACCAAAAAAAATGGCCCCTTTATCTGAGCACCAAGAATACCATTTTGAAGAAATATGACGGAAGGTATAAATAATATGTTACATGCTTCACGTCATTTTAGCAATATAATTGAATGTAACAGTACCCCGATGTGTTCAGAGTATTTACCAACTTGTCAAAAACTTCTTGCATATCACTCATCCCACAGGTTCAAGGATATTTTCCAAGAGGTTTATGAAGCTGAATGGAAATCCAAGTTTGAGGCTGCAGGAATCTGGTTAGCTTTTTTTTAACTACTTAGTATTGTTTGCCTATTCTGAACTTTTGTGTGTATCTCATGGCGTTTTCATTTGACAGGTATGAACATCGTCTCATTGACGATATGGTTGCATATGCACTAAAGAGTGAAGGTGGTTATGTATGGGCTTGCAAAAACTATGATGGAGATGTGCAGAGTGACTTCTTAGCTCAAGGTGTAAACTCTGTTTTACTAATTTTATTTGTAATGGAACTTTTTCTCAGTCCCTTTATAAGGGAAGTAGTTTAAGCTTTTTTGTCCAGTTGTTGCTGATGCTTGCAGAATGCTAAGTTAGGGCAAACTTCTCCCATTAAACAAACTTTTATGTATTCTGCAGGTTTTGGATCCCTTGGTTTGATGACATCAGTGCTGGTATGTATAGTTGTACAAAATAGTGTACTTCAGATTGGAAAATGAATTCATTTATATCTTTCATCTCAGATTAACATAACTTATGAATATCATAGTTCCATCTAGTAAAACCCCATTGTTTTAACTTGTGAACTGGAGATTGAGCCCCCTTATGAATGGTTGAGTCAATAGTTATCGAGAATTCACCTTAAGAATATTTTGGTAATTGGAATAGTCTACTTATCTGGTGGAACATGTTTATTCTTTTATGTCTATGGTTGTATGCCATAATGTTGAGAGGACAAGAAATCACCAGCCATTTTTGTCATACAGCGACTTGTTTCTTTTGTTATTGATAGCTTGTTTTGTTAAGAGAAAGGCCATGGTTCATCATAAACTATCTTGATCAGCTACTACAAAGTGTTGCACATTTCCTCGAACAAATGCTATATTAGAATGTGCTTTTGCAGTGTACCAGTAAAAGAATAGTGTTGCAAGTACTATTTTATTTCCTATTCTGTTAATTCCATATAGTGATGCTAACTTGCTTGTGAAAAAATGGCATGTGTTTTAGGTGTGCCCTGATGGGAAAACCATTGAAGCAGAAGCTGCACATGGAACGGTAACCCGTCATTATCGTGTTCACCAAAAGGGTGGTGAAACTAGTACAAACAGTATAGCCTCTATTTTTGCCTGGTCCAGAGGGCTTGCTCACAGGTATGGGACTTCCTGCCATCTTTCCAATTGGCATCTATGGTTGGAAATTTCAGCTTTGACATAAAACTTCTGTATTTCTAAAGCATGATTATGACTTCTCATGCTTATAAATGTATTCTGCATACTGAAATGGATTACTGAGAACGAAGCTCTTTTAGTTGGTATCTTAAACGTTCATGCTGAAGCCTTGAATACCCTTGGTGATTTGATAGGGGAAAGCTTGATGACAACACTAGGTTGGTTGATTTCACCCAGAAATTGGAAGAGGCTTGCGTTGGAACTGTGGAATCTGGCAAAATGACCAAAGATCTGGCCCTTCTCATCCATGGATCCAGGTATTGTCAGACCCTCTCGGTGCCTTTCAATTCCACCTTGTAAACTCAAGAAGAACCCTCGTTAATGACTTCAAAACATTTGCAGTGTTACCCGAGCTCAGTATCTGAACACTGAAGAGTTCATTGACGCTGTGGCATCTGAGTTGAGAGCCAGGCTGTCTGCCTAAACTACCAGTAAGCAGGCTCCTTTGAGGATCTTAATAGAGTTTTTCAGTTCCCATTATGTCATCGTCTGGTAATATGCCACTGCTGATGTCAGTTTCTTTGTGCTTTGGTTCCGATTGTAGGTTGCTGTAGCTTGGACTCGGAGAAGGCAGGATATTGGGATTCTAGTGTTTCCGAAATAAAGGAGAAGCTTTATTTTTTTTCTCTTCGTAGCATTTTGCAGTGGTCACATGGAACGAGTGTTAATTAATAACTCGATACATTTGGGGATGGTTTTATGATTTGAATTCGGTGATTAATTTAGGGTGTCATCGTTGTTTGGCGGTTGTAACTGAGCGTATTATATCGTATCGTAACCTCCAGGTGGCCGAACGCGTTGCCTCGTGAAACGTCGCCGCGTTGCTCTTTCGCGTTTAGCTTCTGCAGGACCAAACTCCGTTGCGCGAAGAGTAGAGAGTAGAGAGATGGAACTCATCCTGCGGTCTAGTAGCGCAGCTGAGACTTGCTTGCAAATACCTTGCTTGTGAAGAGTTGAGCTTTGTTCTGCGGCGGTTCAAGGTGGCTAACAATGGGCTGTCATTAACAAAGTCAAGGGCTGAGAAGTCATCAATCACCATTCTAATGCTTACGCTCCTGTGAAGGATCCACCTTGATGCTGTCTCCGATCTCAAATAAGATCGGAGTGAGGCCCACCAGAGAAGGGAGAGGAGTCTACGGAAGCGGACTGGTCCATGCACCCAGACATTTTTTTACGCATAGTTACTATTTTAGCCTTCTGTTACCTATCTGTGACCTACCCCATGTACTACCGTTACGGGCCATTTATGTCATTCCGCTTGGTGATCGCGGCTGACCGCCAGAAAACGTTCTACTAGGGTTTACGAACAAGGGCGGCGATCGAGGCGAATAGCAACGACCGAGCGGAACTCCTTTCGCCGCCACCAAATCCAGTCTGGTTCGTACGATTCTGATTCCGATTCCGATTCGAACCCTCGATCTTCTTTTGCCCCTGTAACCGCTGTTCTAATGCTCGCATCTCAAACTCTCTTTACTTGGCTATTTTTGTGTGTATTTTTTAGCGGTTTGAACTTGCATTTGTTCTCGAGCGATTGTTTCTATCATTTTGGTCATTTCCACTGAAAGATTCTCTTTATATCTTCATTTATTTGGTGTATCTGGTGATCCTTTTAGGTGATTTTTAGGTATATATTAGGATCTCTGATCTTCATTTGTTATCTACGTTTTGGTATTCGTTTCCTTTTGATCGGTTGATGGTACAAGTTAACATCTTTAGTCGTTTTCCCCGCACTTTATCCGTTGACAATGGCATGAGATAAACTATGCTTTCTTAGTATATGTGATTTGCTGGTCTGTGATGTTATTTCTTTCTTTCTTAAGAACTTCTATCTAATTGTTATTGGTTTCTGACATCATTGTTTGTTTGATTAAAGGCTTTGTTCTACTTGAGTGGATTGGCCTCTTAGTTTCGATTGTTGATGTCATAGTTCCTTTTATTTCCTTTAATTTTTTTGACTTTTTATGCCTTGCAGCTCTGATGGCCACCGTCCCTGGCCCACTCATTTGGGAGATTGTGAAGAAGAACAATGCGTTCCTTGTGAAGCAATTCGGTAACGATACTGCCATGGTGCAATTTAGCAAGGAGCCAAACAATCTCTATAATGTCAATTCCTACAAGCACTCCGGTGGGAAATTAGTCCTTGGTTTTATTTTTGTTCCATTCTTTTTAAGTATCTGAGCTGCATTTACATTTTGATGTGTTCATATGCCTAATGAAAAATCACAGGGTTGGCAAACAAGAAGACAGTGACCATTCAGGCTGGAGGGAAGGACCTGTCTGTAGCAATTGCGACAACTAAGACAAAGAAGCAGAACAAGCCTGGTAGCTTATATCACAGATCAGTCATGAAGAAGGAGTTCTGTAAGTTGGCAAAAGTTGTTATGAACCAGGTATCAGCTCCCTCTGTTTCTTAAGATCTGAATGTGTTATTAGATTGCTAGTATTATGGCACATCCTGTCTGCCGGTTCTTAGTATGGTATTCCTTTGTCTGTCTTACCAATAAGACAGTGACTTATATTGACAAATTTCAATTGTAGCTGGTAGTGTAAATTGTACTTTATGATACATGCATATTTTGGTTTCTGACTTAAATATGTATTGATAGTTCTATAGGACTAAGCATGTCTAATAAGCTTACTGAGGTAGGACAATTTAGATCAAATTAATGCAAATGTCTAGTTTTAAATTGTAGTTCTATTTCCTGAAGACCTACCATGTTTCTGTTGTATTCTTACAGTTGTTTAATGCCTGTCTCTTCTGTCTTTACTACTCGGTAACTAGATGATGGTTCTTTTTCTTAGCTCAACTTTATATCCAAATTCCTCAGCTAAATGTTTATTTGTATTTTATTCATCTGTTCCCAATCTACTGATCATAGACTGTGAAGATTGAGCAATCATGCTCTCTTTGAACCTTGGACTGCCATATAGGCCATTCAGTTTAGTGTATCAATACATGAATGATACTAATTGAGTTTCTTTTTACTGCATGATCTGTGCATATTGACCATGTTTTTGGTTACTTTAAGTCACCTTATATGGCTATTCATATTATTTGGGGCTTGTTTGTGGTGACATATGATTGCTTTTCTTATCCATTTCAAATTTTGTTTGTATTCCTATGTTTTCATATATTGAATATTCTGAGTTATACTAGTCATATCAAGACCCATAAATTAGATATATTAGATTGATGAAATCAGGTCCTTTCTGAAAATAATTTAAAAAGAAATGATGGAAAATCAGGAAAATTAGAAAGAGAAAAAGGAAGATATGAAGTAAATTGGCAAAATGAAACCACTAAAGATCACAGTAAGGTCAATAAATTTTGGAAACCCTGCATAACATTAAAGACAAACCATAATACTTGCTCGATGACCTAGTCCTAGCTAAATAAGAAAAGCTATCCCCCATTCTACACATATATAATGCATGATAACTAAAGATGATGGTATAGCTTGTCAATTAGCTTGTAGGATGGAAGAGTACTTAATTTTGTGTTCCTGTTATAATGCAAACGAAGCTGCATTTTTCTTGTAAGTTGTGGAACTTAAATTTCCTAGTAAATGAAGGGTGCATTAATCCTTATGGCCACTATGCTAAATTGGTTAAATTGTTCTCATGAAGAAGTTTCTTTTGGTCATATTTGATGATTTTTAAAAGAGTTTTTTTTATTTCTAACTATTTTAATCTTAAGCATTTATAAAAATATGTTATATATTAGATAGACTCTGTAGTTGTTGTTGTGATTATATGAGATTAGTTGATTAGAATTAGTGGGATGAGGAGAGGTAGAGCGAGAACTAAGGATTTTTGTAGGAATGTACAAAGAGATTTGGGTGTTCTTAATTTAACAAGATGGAATAGATGCACATACTTGACCTAAATAGTTGGGATATTACGGTTTGTTATTGATCCTAGATGGACAGTTATCTTCCACTTCTACGTTTGATTGATTCAATCTGACATTTTCAGTTTGTAGGTCAAGCCAATAGTAGATTGTGGCGTCGGGTGCTCTTTGTCCTTTATGTAACTTGTTTTTTTATATTATTCTGTAAGTTCCTTTGTTCTACATGCACAACCGTTCTATTATCTCATTTTGAGTATAGAATATTTCCTATGCTTTCCCTTTTCTGTTTTATTTTTTATTTTTGGCACTCTACACCCTACACTCTACACTCCACGAAAGTGCTGCAATGGTGATCAGTAATATGTAAGAAGAGCCTCTCATGGGATTGGTTGTTCAATGAAATATTCTAGTTACGCTTGGCTTCTGAGCTATGTTCCATTTTTTTTCTAAATTCTCCTTTAGAAAAAGTCATTCTCTGTTTTGCTACGAATAATATTCTTTAATTTCCTCTGTTTCGGCAGTTATAATTTTTTCCTAATATTTCATTTCGAGTGCAGAACGCTTCCTACACTTCTCCTTTCCTGTTTTCTTTTTGCTTTTTTGGTGCTCTACACTCTGTACACAACAGAAGTACTGCTATGATGATCTGTAACATATAAGAAGCCTCTCTGTTCCTTTTTTCCCCTAAATTCTCCTTTAGAAAACAATTTTCCTTTATGTGACTTTTTTTTATTTTCATTAATTTCTTCTGTTTGTAGATAGATCAATTGTTTATAACTTAAATCAAAACTTTTCACTGATGGCGAATATTAATCATTGGGGAGTTGGGGATCAATGTTTAAAGCATGACTTGATTTTTGTCTTGTGGCATCAAAACATTATCGCCCTATACTAATCTGTTATCTTATTGCATTTTATTTATTTTTCTTTGAACCATTCCGAGATCCTGTGACTAGTTTTGTATTTATGTCATATGAACTATTCCACCTCTCTTCTGCTATACTCCCACTGCTGATTTTGCATCTTAATGAATATAATTACTCAACCCAACAAACTTATGTAATATGAAATGTTCCATCTCCTGTTGCAGGTCACTGACAACCACTACAGGCCAGATCTGACCAACTCAGCTCTAGCGCGGCTGAGTGCGGTACATCGAAGCCTTAAGGTTGCCAAGTCTGGCGCAAAGAAGAGGAACAGGCAGGCTCTTAAAGTGAGAAACTAAATCAATGCTTGTGTCCATGGATGGTCTTATTTAGTTGTCCTTTATTTGGTTTTTGGTTCACTAAGTTTTCGTGGAAGAATTGCTGTCACCCGGAATTTTGATGACTGGTTTTCTATTGTTGATTTCATTGCAAGAGTTTTCATAATCTAGTTTTATTTGAGATGACCTTTAATATTTGGCACATGATCTTGATACAAACAATATTTGGATAGTAAGTCTTGGCACATTATGATCTTTGTTCTTAAGAGCAAAGAATTGTTTTTGCTTCTTAAGCCATGATGAAGAGTCTGTGTGTTTCTGGAGACCTTGGACAATACCAAACATGTTATACGCTCAATTTTTGGTGAAATGTATGAATTCAATCAATCTGCTCATTATATGTCAATCACAGCTTCATTTGAAATTAGATTCTGTTCAACTTTAAATGAACAATACGATGTTTTTTTTTTATTACAAAAAAAAGTCTGAGAGTCCTTGTTAATAATTAAGTAAATATTAATATGGTTTGTTAATTAATAAACAAATTATTGAATTATTAATTCAGATGCTTATAGATATGTGGTCAACAACGTATATTTTTGCTAAAATTATAAGGACTAGCGATCTGAAATATTGAAATTGAATTAGGGTACTTTTGATTGCTCTAATCATTTTTCTCTCCGATATCTTAGTAAAGTTTATAAGTAAATGAAAAACTCTATATGTATGTGTGTGTATACTCTTATAAAACACTCTTATCAATTTTCATTTATTTTGTAATATTAATTTAAAATATATATTAATGATGAAAATTTTAAAGGGTATTAATGCTATTTAAAATTTGAAGCGTGAATTAATTTTTATAATCTTGAATATATCCTTCCCTTCCCCCGTTTCCTGCCTTCATCTTGTCGATGCTCGATTCCTTCATCATTCTTTTACTCCGTGGAGCGAAAGCAAACTGTCTCACTGAGTAAAAGAATGACGGAGGAAATAAGTATGCTCAATAAGGAAGAGTGGAGCCTCAGAATGATAGGCATGAGGTAGAAATGACAAATGTGATGGGAGGCTTCATAGTTGTGGAGTCGTCATTGTGCAACGGAGTTGAGAAAGAGCGGAGGCAACGGGTAAAGAGTTTAGGGTCTGTTGCTCAATGGGACAAAGTTAATCGAAAAATACGGATGCTATAATGTACTCCAGCTTATAATATGGCTATTTGTTGATTATGTTTTTTAATGATTCTCTAGATAATATTTGGGATTTGAAAAGCCTGGCTGTCAATTGGTTGGTCTTGTTTATTTTGTGATTGTAATGCTTTATGAGAGAATGATTTATACACAGTCATCAATTCTAGAATTTTTTTTTGGCATATTCACAAGTTCATAATTTCTAGTGTATCTTTTTCATTTACAATACAAAATACAGTTTATCAAGTTTAAGTATATTTTAGGAGGGTTAATTATGTATACCTTATGTAATTAGTTATCTTTATTATTTTAATCATTATATTTTAAAACATTATATTGGTATTCTTATAGTTATGAATAAAAAACATCTATATCCATTTATCCTATTGATTTTGTTAATAAAATTATAAAAATAAAAGGATAAAAAAATAATTTTAACATCTAAGTTTGTGATGGTGGACGATGATATCGTTGAAGGTTGTTTGACAACTACGTCGACATCGATGTATATTTAATACAACGTCGTTCGATGAATTTTTCATCGCTTGGCAATTGCGTTGACACCGATAAATATGCAAAGCGGTCCCTAGTGGCGTTATTGTTCGTCTTACATTTTGTTTTCATGTTTTCGTTGGTAAAACCGATAATGTTAAGATAAATGAACGTATATGTTTTACTTTCATAATTATAAAGATATCAATATAATTTTTTAAAATATAGGGATTAAAATACTAAAGGTAATTGAATAATATGTAATTTGTCTCATTTTAGGAAGAGAAATATGGTCTGTATCAATTGATCCAATCGTTTCTTTCATCAAGCCGAAGGCAGTAACTAAAGCAATAGCCATTAGTTACATATTTGTTCTTGCAATAGCCAAACATCATAATATGTAATTTTAAATGTATATTCCTGAAACTGATATTTCTGACAAAATTGAAATGAATCTCATATTTATTCTTCAAATGTCAATGAAGGTTCTGTTCTTTTGATACCACTGAGTAATAAAATGGTAAACAAATTAATTTAAAAATGATTCACGAATAATTCTGAACAAAAAGTCCAAACTAGTAAAAAAAGGGCTGAAATTTAGCTTTTATTACATTTTTTTACACATCTACCATTTTAAGACATTTACTATTTACTGTTCCCCTTTTCACTATTGATAATATTTTTAAAAAATAAAAATATTATTTTATTATTTAAAGTCTTAATATTACTGATTTTATTTTATTTTCTTTTCTTACTATCCTTTATTACTTGGTGTCGCCATCGACCCTTGTCGACGTTGCTCATCGCACCATTCAATGTCGATCCCTCGATGTCGTCATTTGAGGACGAAGAAAGGAAAGAAGAGGAGAAGAACAAAGAAGAGACTATTTACATACATTTACAAAATGATAGCTTATAAATACTAAAAAAAATTAAAATGATGTTATAGATAGTAAAATTAGGGTTATTAATAGTAATATCCCCATTTTAAAAATTGAAAAGAGTATTTGCCCTTATAACTACTTCAAATATTAAGGTTCTTCAAATTAAACATAAATTA